TTTTTTTCTTTCTTAAATTATATTTTTATTGATTTCAGAGAGAGAGAGAAACATCAATGATGAGAGAGAATCATTGATTGGCTGCCTCCTGCACTCCCCACACTGGGGATCGAGCCTGAAACCCGGGCATGTGCCCTGAGCAGGAATGGAACCATGACCTCCTGGTTCATAGGTTGATGCTCAACCACTGAGCCCCCCTGGCCGGGCCAGAATCCACTTTATAGTCACGCATCACATTTGAGTGTGTCTTTTCAGTCTGAAGCAGCGCCCCGCTTGCTTTTTTGTGTGAAATGGGCATTTAGTAGTCTGGTTGCCTATTAGAATGTTCTACGTTCTAGATTTGTCAGTTTCGGAATTGTGTCATCTAATCTTTCTCTTTTTCCTAATGGTAGTATAAACTGGAAGTTAGTTCTAGCCTTGATTAGGTAAAGGTTAAATTTTTCTTTGCAAAAGTGCTTGCTAAGTGGAGACATGAGTTTCCTCTCGATCCCACCAGGCGGAGCCTAGGGCCAGGGAAGCCTGGGTTGGCCAGTCAGGGGTGGCCACCAGCTGTCCCTGCTGGCGAGGTGCATTTGCCCCTCGGCAATGGCAGTCTGTGTGTCTGGTTTCAGTTTTGTATTGAGGACTTTCTTTAGGCTAGAATCCAAAAAATATGAATGCTGGGCCAAAGATTACCAGCACTTATACTGTAAGTTTTCTAATATTAACATCTATTGTCAGATTGCTTTTAAAAGCTTGATTGTAGAGCACCGTGTAAGTGATGGTTTCACAGCTCAGAGCAGGCATCGCGCTGCTGGCTGGGAGGCGCCTCTGGTTTGATAGGAAGATATGGTGTGCCTTTAAAAAAGTTGTATTTCTTTCATTACTTTTGATTACTTCCTTTGTCATTCTCTTGTATATCTTCTTTTGTGAATGATGTTCTTTAACTGTTTGTCCTGTTTAATATTAGGACCAACTTTTGATTTGAGGTCTTTACATAGTAACAATAGTTTCTTCTTATTGTGTTTATTTTCTATTTGTGTGTTTTTTTTATATAAAAAGTTTAAATATTCTTCATCTTCAAATTTGTTTTTTTCTTTGTAACTTCAGTTAGAAATTCTCTCCTATCAAGAGTTTTGATAATTGCTTCTCTTTTTCCCTAACTTTCACAAATATTGAACTCTCAAATTTCTTTATTATAAAAAATAACATAAAAATTCAAGCAGTCAGAGGTGTTTAAAATAAAGGGCAGGGGGTGGGAATAAGTCAAGGTGGTCATAGGGTACAAACTGGAGTCCACAGATGAGCAAGTCCTGGGGGTGTCTGTACAGCATGGCGACTAGTTAACAGGAATGTATTGTATATTTGAAAGGTGCTAAGAGACCAGCTCTTAAGAGTTCTCACCACAAAGAAAAATTGTAACTGTGAGGTGCTGGATATGTTAACTAACCTTACTGTGGTAATCATTTCAATATATATACATATATAAAATCGTTACATTTTGCATTGCTGTTGTGCACCTTAAACTTTCACAATGTTACACTTCAATTATATCTTAAAGCTGGGTGGGGAAGGAAAGAAAATTTAAAACATCTTGAAAAAAAATGAAATGAAAACATATCCCTCCCCTCCCAACACTTTCACTCCCCAGAGGCAACTTCTTTTGTAGTTTGGTGCGTATATTTCAGGCTTTTTTCCTACGTTTGTTTATATTGCCATACATGTCCACAGAGTCATTGTTGTGTTCGCACAAATAGGGACCCATTGTGATCCTTGCATCTTGTCTTTCTCCCTGGGCAATGTATTACCAACATCTTTTTTAATTTTGTTGGCTCTTTGTGATGCCATGGTTTGACTGTCCCAGAGTTTTACTCTTCCTCGGGGATGCACCTTTCATTTGTGTGCTTTGGGAAGAGGGACTGTTAAATTCAGTGCCACTGCAGTGAGCACCCTGGCACTGTATCTCTGGCCGTTTCGTTTTGAGAGAGAAATTGATCTCTTCTGTCCATCTGGATTTTATTTTGATGCATGAACTAAGAGGTACTTGTATTTCTTTGTTTTTTTGTAAGTAGGTAAGTGGCATAGCACCATCTCCCGAGTATCCGTTCCCTTTTCCTCCAGTGTACACACTTGGTTTATCCCATGCTGAACTCTTGTATATACGAGGGTGCCTTCCTGGGCTGTTGGTCAGTGCTGTGTATGGTTCTGATTTGTGTTCCGTGGGTAGATGTGCAGGGAGGTGGGTGAGCGGGGGTGGCAGCTCCGACAGGCTCATGGACCAGACCAGGGCTGGCGGTGCTGACCCTCACTGCTGCTTCTTTCCCCCAGTACCTGTTCCTGACCTTCCCAAGGATCGTCTTCTTGCTGGGCTTTGTCTTGGTGCTGAGCGTCCTCCTGGGCGGCTTCCTGTGCTTTGCTCTGTACCTGGCCGCCACCAACCAGACTACGAACGAATGGTGCAGAGGTGACCGGGCCTGGTGCCAGCATTGCCCCCAAGGCGCCGGGGCCCCCTCCGTAGAGCCCCGTGTCCACCGGAACATTCACTCCCACGGGCTTTGGAGCAACCTCCGAGAGATCTTTCTACCTGCTGCTGCACATTATGAGAGAAAGAAGAAATGAGAATGGAAGAGTGTTACTGCCTTTTAAATACAGTTCATTTTAAATATAGTTCGTTTATTTATGCAAATGGATACTTACTTTCTAAGCATGTTTTTTTTTTCCTTCTGTTCTGTATAAATCGCCTTTCAGTGGTTAAGGAAGGGAAGAGAAAAGTAGGGTTTACTGAGTGCCCAATGGAAATCCTCCATGGTCATCCTCTGATCACTCAGCCCGTCGGAACAGAGCTTCTCTGGAGCCCTGGTGACCTTGGTCTCCCAATGGACTTGGCTCCTGGACAGGAGGGGCCCCGTGGCTGTGTCCCCTGGTGTGCGGGAGGGTCTCCGCAACTTGGATGTCCTCATCTCTCCCAGGGAAAGACGACTTTTTTCTCCATTTCCTTAACCATGCCAGCACCCTCACCCAGGCCTGTTGAGCTTGTGGCCTCCTGCCGGCCCTCCGCTGACCTCTTGTGGCCATATCAAGTATTTTCTGTCCTTTTAAAAATTTTTTATTGATTGGTTTTAGGAAGGGGGAGAGAGATGGACAGACAGACAGAAACATCAAGTTGTGGTTCCGCCTATTTAAGCATTCATTGGTTGCTTCTTGTATGTGCCCTGACCCGGAATCAAACCTGAAACTTCGGGTTATTGGGATGATGTTCTAACTGACCAGTGCCTGCCCTATTTTTAAATTCCTAACTAAGCACAAGTAATTCAGTGCAGAGGTGAGTGCTGGAAAAAAGACTCATCGGAAGTGCTGAGGGTTTTAAAAAATTTTTATTGATTGGTTTTAGGAAGGGGGAGATGGACAGACAGACAGAAACATCAAGTTGTGGTTCCGCCTATTTAAGCATTCATTGGTTGCTTCTTGTATGTGCCCTGACCCGGAATCAAACCTGAAACTTCGGGTTATTGGGATGATGTTCTAACTGACCAGTGCCTGCCCTATTTTTAAATTCCTAACTAAGCACAAGTAATTCAGTGCAGAGGTGAGTGCTGGAAAAAAGACTCATCGGAAGTGCTGAGGGCTGTTGGGACGGGAGCGCCATTAGGAGCAGGGTACCTAGATCCCCTCCCCGGCCACTGAAGGGGTGGGGAGTAGGAACTCGGGCAGGAACTGGTCGGGAGGCATCGTTGGATCGCGTGGCCCCTGGGGTTCAGAGCTGATACAATCTTTAAAGTGAATCGCTGAGGCCGAGCCCGTGCCTGCGCTACCCCCTATGCTGCTTGGGGGAAAGGACAGTGAAATCAAACGTGGAGGCTTTGAACCCGGGCTGAGGGGGCGAAGGGAGGAGCCGTCTGCCGTCTTGCGGGAGGCGGGGTGGGGTGGGGAGCGCCGGACCCCATGAGCACCGGTGGCTGTGACAC